TTAGTCTTCGCGTTCGCGAGAGTGCCTTCGCGAACGCGAAGTAGGACATGCCAGAACACCTGCTGCAGCAAAATACCAGATTTTCTAAGTCCAAAGCATCCCGTGGCCTATCCGAAACTCACCCGAGCCCTCGGGGCTCCAAAACAAATATGCAAACAAGTCTAAAAATATTATACGAACTTGCTCGCGCGATCAAATCACCAAAATAACATCTATAACTACGAATTTAGCACCAAATCGAGTACAATTCTCAAGAACACTTTAAAATTCCTATCTTCTCAACTGGACATCCGAATCATGTCAAATAAACTTCGTTTCTCACCAAATTTCACAGACAAGTCATAAATATCATAATGAACCTGTACCAGAATCCGGAACAAAAATACGGATCCGGTACTAACAATACCAAACATCAATCAATTCTTAAAAATAAATAATTTTTAGACTTTTAATTTTCATCAAAAATTCATAACTTAAGCTAGGGACCTCCGAATTCGATTCTTAACATACGCCGAGATCCCATAATTCGATACGGACCCACTGGGACCGTCAAAATATGGATTCGGGCCCATTTACCAATATTATTGATCGAAGTCAAATAAAATCAACTTTTTAAGGCATGAATTCTTATTTTCATCAGTTTTCAACAGAAAAACTTTCCCGAAACCTACCCGGACTGCGCACGCAAATCGAGCAGGATAAAAATAATATTTTTAAGGCTTAAGAACGCAGATTTGAGTTCTAAAATATAAGATAACCTTTTGGGTCATCACACTTATTTTCAAATCCCTAGGCCCAATTTCTCGAATTATACCTCAAAGACACGTAATCTATTCGGAATACTCAATGATAATTTAATATTATTGATTAACAATGATCACAAGTGACTTACCTCAAGTTCTCCCGTGAAATCCCTCTGAAAAATCACCACAAACCATGTTTGAACTCTGAAATGACAAAAATGTCGGACCCTTCTATTTTTGTAGCTTGCCCAGGGTTCTCGCTTCTGCGGATCATTTAACCGCATCTGCGGTCCCTCTTTTGCAGAGAATCTGCCGCTTCTGCGGTAAGCCAAGGCTCCACTGCCTCCTTCTTCTGCGATTATGCTTTCGCTTCTGCGGACTCATTTCTGCGAGAAGCAGTACGCTTCTGCGGTCACTAGCGCACCTGCGATTCCTCGTCCGCATCTGCTATCACGCAGATGTGGAATTTTCCCTCGCACCTGCGGCCACTGCCCACTCTTCCTTTTTCTCTTCTACGCTCCCAGGCTCGCATCTGCAAGTTCGCACCAGCGAGCCAAGTTCCGCAGGTGCGATTGCATCAAATGGCAGAAAGCTTCTAGCTTTATTCTATGTCTGATTTCGATCCGTTAGCCATCCGAAACTCACCCGAGGCCCCCGGGGCCTCAACCAAATATACCAACAAGTCTTAAGACGTCATACGAAGTTAGTTGAAATCTCACATCACATCAAACAATGCTAAAACCACGAATCATACCCCAATTCAAGCTTAATGAAACTAAGAATTTTCAAGTTCTACATTTGATGCCGAAACCTATCAAATCAAGTCCGATTGACCTCAAATCTTTTCATACAAGTCATAAACGACATACCAAACCTATTCAAATTTCTAGAATCACATTCCGACCCCGTTATCAAAAAGTCAACTCCCCGGTCAAACTTCCAAGCTTAAATTCTATTTTAGCCATTTCAAGCATAATTTAACTACGGACTTCCAATTAATTTTTCGGACATGCTCCTAAATCCAAAATCACCATACGAAACTATTGAAATCATTAAAACTCTATTCCGAGGTCGTTTATATATAAGTCAACATCCGGTCAATCTTTTCAACTTAAGTTTCCATCTTGGAGACTAAGTGTCTCAATTCATTTCAAAACCTCACCGGACCCGAACCAATTACCCCGGCAAGTTATACAACAATTGTAAAGCATAAATTGAGCAGTAAATGGGGGAACATGGCTGTAATACTCAAAACGACCAGTCGGGTCATTACAAATATATAATATTAATTTCACTCTAGAGTGCCTAAAGCATCTCATGAGGAGTTTATTTTGTAAAGCACCTCATGAGGAGTTTATTTTGTAAAAGTTCAAAATTACTCACTAATTACCTTAATATTTCAATCGAAATGCTCAATTATTTTCATACTTTAATATGAGTAAGCGAATAAATATTTTCATATTATTTAAGGCGTATGACGGAAGGTTTAGCTAAGCAAGACTACTCGAGAAAATATCCATAAAACTACATCAAATTTAGAAATATAGTAAAGCACTGTAGGAAATATCTTTTTTATCTCATATATTACTATCATTCTATATATGAAAGTGATGAAAATACATAGCACTTTTATAGTAAAGTTTTAATAAGTTCATATGTAAAATGAAGGTACAAAAATATTTCCTATGATGCTTTAATTTTCTGTACATTCGAAGTTTAGTCTAGTTCTATGGATATTCTCTTGTTAGTCTTGCTTAGCAAAGGACCTTCCATCATAGGCCTTAGATAGTGTGAAAGTATCTATTATCTTACTCATATTAAAGTATGAAAATATTTGAGCATTTCGATTTAAAATCTTAAAGTAATTATTGAGTAATTTGAAAACTTTTACAAAATAAACTCCTCACGATTGATGCTTTAGATACTCCGGAAAATGTTATATATTTCTACAGACTCCCCTTATAAAACCTAAACATAATACTCATGACAAGTGAAAGAATTTTGTAATTAAAAACACCTAAACTTTAACTTGGAATAATATATCTCAACAATTACGTAAATAAGCCTTACATAACATATTACCAAAGCAATATCTCATCAAATATCTCAACAATTATGTAAATAACATATTAGCAAAATAAAAGGTTATATTGATTATTTAATATTTTCTTTTTTGAAACTATTTTTTAACTTGTTACTCAATTAAAATGGTGGTCAAGTGCAATCCAATAACATAATTCTAATTAAGAAAAACTATGTATTGTCTAATTATGATCATTAAGGACCTAGTGCTGTCGAGACAAAGAAACAATGAATGAAGGCCAAATGGGTCTGGTTTAAGTCCTATTAAAAAGAAAGAACATATAAATTTTTACACTCCCAAGTTATTTGATTTCATTTTCCTCAAACAATAGAATAGCCTAGTTGAACAACATCTTATCAAAATAAAAGGTTATACAGATCATTTAGTATTTTCTTATTAATATTATTTTTCAACTAGTTCTCAAATAAAATGGTGGCCAACTGCAATCCAATAACATAACTCAAACTAAGAAAATATTTGTTGTCTAATTATGATCATTAAAAACTGGCGCTGGCGAGACAAAGAAACAAAGAATGGAGGCAAAATGGGTTTGGTTAAAATCCTTCAAAAAAAGAAAGAACATAAGTTTCTAGACTCCCAAATTATTTTAATTCATTTTCCCATCATAATATCTTATATAAAGCACTTGGTGTTGAGACTTAAAATCACCAATTTCTTTGTTTCTCAAATCTCGAGTGTTTAATTAGCCATGGCAAAAAGGACTAAGGGTCGCCAAAAGGTTGACATGGTTAAGATGCAAAATGAGAGTAACTTGCAAGTGACCTTTTCGAAGCGTCGTGCTGGTCTCTTCAAGAAGGCTAGTGAACTCTGTACACTATGTGGTGCTGAAATAGTCCTTGTGGTATTTTCCCCAGGCAAAAAAGTTTACTCATTTGGCCACCCTTGCGTGGACTCAGTGGTGGATAGGTTTCTCACAAGGAACTCTCCACCAAATAATGGCCATAATCAGCTCATTGTGGCTCATCGAAATGCTAGTGTTCGTGATCTCAATATTGAGCTCACGAACATTGAGGGAATTCTTCAAATGGAAAAAAATGGTGGAGAAGCCCTACAAGCAAGGAAGAGAGATACCGGTCATTGGTGGAAAGCTCCAATTGAAGAACTTAACTTTTTTCAACTGCGACAATTGAAGGAGGCAATAGAATGCATAAAGAAGAAAGTTGAAAGAGAGGCACAAAACCAACAAATGGTGACTGGTAATGCATTCCCATTTCTCACCTTTGGATGTGCCTTGGCTCCTACTGGTGCTAGTGCAAGATCTTCATATGGTTCTTATGGCTCTTTTTCATTTCAAAATAGGGTTTCAGGACTCAACTTTGGTGCACCTTTTGCTAACAGATCCAGTGGATCTACTTCTTCAGTAGTTCCCAAGTAGTTCGACTGTCATTCCGGAAAATCCTGGGACTTCAAGACCTATCATGCGTAATTGAATTATTGGAAATAACAAGCTTAAATATTAAAGGCTTGCTTTATAAGTGTCTAAGTTCATTTTCCATTTGAGTTATCCGATGTGTGTCTTTTGTGTCATCATATAATGATCATTAGTTATAGTTCGTGTTACTAGGAATTCAAAGAGTTCAAACAATACCTATATTAGTGTGTTGTCGTAAGAGTGGAGTTATTTGTAATATATTTAGTGTGTTTTATGTTTGTCCCGCTATTCCATCCTTTTGGGCCTTATAAGTTTTAATAGTTTTGAATAGCGTTACTCATTTCTTTAACTTACAATAAAGTGGTATAGTGCCTAGTTTGAATTCCAACAAGAATCAACCATACAGAGACATTGTGGTTTTAAGTATCAAAGGTTATTTTATTATATATATATATATATAAAGACAATTATATGTAGATTTTATCCTCATTGCTAGTGATAGCTTGGTATGGGTAAGTAACTAGGTTTTAACTATGAAGTTTGTAGTATGTATAATTTCTTCTAAAGAAGTAACGAAAGGACCTCTTAAGTTAAGATTGTGAAGTTTGTGAGAACTGATAATTAATTATATATTTATATATTTCATAAGTCAGGACATTAGAAACAATCTCANTATAGAGCTCGCTTTTTAACGACCCGACCGGTCATTTTACTTTCTAAATCCTCGTTCCCCTAATTAAGACTCCCTAAATGTGTTGTTACTGTTTTATGACTTGCGGGGATGGTTGGTTTGGGTTTGAAAGGGTTCGAGTTGACTTGTGTGGACTCAATGGTGGATAGGTTTCTCACAAGGAACTATCCACCAAATAATGGTCATAATCAGCTCATTGTGGCTCATCGAAATGCTAGTGTTCGTGATCTCAAAATGGAGCTCACGAATATTGAGGGGATTCTCCAAATGGAAAAAAATGACGGAGAAGTCCTACAAGCAAGGAAGAGAGATAACGGTCATTGGTGGGAAGCTCCAATTAAAGAACTTAACTTTTTCCAACTGCAACAACTGAAGGAGGCAATGGAAAGCATAAAGAAAAAAGTTGAAAGAGAGGCACAAAACCAAAAAATGGTGACTAGTAATGCATTCCCATTTCTCACCTTTGGAAGTGCCTTGGCTCCTATTAGCTTCGCAAGCTTCAAATAATTATTAAAGTGTCGTGTATTTATTATTATTAAGCACGATTTTAGCCGAAGACGTATGACCCGATCCAGAGTTTCGTGTACACTGTCGAGGGACGTGCGGCGCGATCCATAAATGCATCTATCCTGCCGAGGCGTTCGGCCCGCTCCACAAGAAAGGAGGACATTTTCTTATGTACCTACAGAAGGAAAGTATATTTATTATAAGATAAATTCGGATGGAACAACAATTTCTTTTTAACAATTAATTAATTTAAACAGAAAATCAAGCATATGAGATTTCCATCCTTTAATATCTTTATCTAA